TTAAAATTTTTTTTTATTATTTTAAAATTTTTTAAATTAATCACGGGCCGGCCCGAAATGGGGGGTCGGCCCGAGCCCGAGCCGGGCCTTTTTCCGAGCCGCCGAGCTTTTTTGCCACCACTAAAAGAAGGATACATCAGCAGAAATCCTTTTTGGGATTTGAGAATGACTGAAAAATGAGAAAAAAGAAGACAAGAAACTGACACATGAAATCAATCCATAGCAATTGTCATATTTCCCGGCTCGGGCTTTTTTCGGGCCGAGCTCGAGCCGTCCGAGCCGGCAAGTTTTTTTACCACCACTAAAAGAAGGATAAGTCAGCGGAAATCCTTTTTGGGATTTGAGAATGAATGAAAAATGAGAAAAAAGAAGACAAGAAACTGACACATGAAATCAATCCATAGCAATTGTCATATTTCAAATGTGGAATATGTCAGTGAATTTATTTATTCTTGAAACTGGAATCAGATCAAGTCGTTTAGATTTGTTGAAGAGTAAAGAATCTGTATCTTCAACACGAAAAATTCTTATAAAGATGCAAAAAAATTTAAAATTCACTGTAGTCGAAAAATTTCTAATAAAAAATTAATCCCCGTGTAACTTATACTTTTTGAGGAGAATTAATTTCTTCTTGATCGTGAATATCTAACTAGGTATTGCCATATTCGAGCATTAGCATCTTAAATTTTAATTTCTGCATAATTAAAATAACTTGTGCTTATATTTCCATGCTAAGAAAGAAAATCAGTGAGATTAGTATGTTCTACCTTTATGGTAATTAATGATAGAATCTGGTGTCTTCTTGAATACAAAAATTGGCCATATTCCCTCATGAATCATAGGGGTGCCAATGGACTCGCCTCTTCGTTACCGAAGCGTACACACTCGGTTCTCGTCCCAATTCTAAGCTCGGCTTGGCCCTTTGGCTCATTGACCGCATGGGCCAAGCAGGCTCATTTTTTAACGAAATTAATGAAATAAATCCAAAAATGATCCGACTCGTGAAAAAAAAGTGAACTAGACTCAACCCATAACACGTTTCAAAATTTGGCCTAGTGGGGACGAACCGAGCCCTCAAGCTACTCAACCCTTTTGTCACTCCTAATCAAGATATTTTGTATTTGGAAAATAGATGGATGATGGCCACTGTCATGGGTTTTAGGTTAAGAAGAGAATTTCACCTTCTCTTTCTTTTGAATTAAAATGTGCATGCTTAATGACATTATATAAAAAGTTAATTTTTTTTAAATAAATAAATAAAGATTAATCGCGTCATAACCCTCGTGGGTTCCCTTAACCAAACCACACTGTCTATACGTCGCCGCTCATTTTTCAACAGGCATGCAATCAAAGTTTTTCCGAGTGTCAGTAGCCTTTAAAATATTTTGCAAAGAATAAAAATAAACTCTTTGTCACACGTTTTTTACAACGTGAATTATTCCGTAAGTGTACGGTGTCAAATTTTGTAATATAGTAAAAGAGT